TATGACCTTTTTGAACTCTGTATCTAACTCACTAGAGGCACGGGAAACAAAGAGAAGATGTGTACGAACGAGAGTTGTTGAAACTAGCATATTGGAAGATCAATCCGCCAAAATAAGCATGAACGGCTACGATATTCTAAGTTTCTTCCTCTTGACCGAATCTGTAACCTTCATTAGCAGATTCATTTTCTGTGCTTTCCCTGATCAAACTAGATGTTACCAAGGAAGCATGCATAGCACTGAATAGGGAGCCGCCTTTTACACCAGCTAGGCCTAAGATGTGAAATGGGTGCATAAGGATGTTGTGCTCAGCCTGGAATACAATCATGAAATTGAAAGTACCGAGCTCTACGTTTGAAACATCAACACAGTCATTCCTTAGTAGCTCGTTGCTACAACTTCTATTTAGCTCGTTCCGTGCTTACTCACTTCACTCGCTCTCGTTCAGTAGCGGTTCTTCATTCTTTAGATAGCCGCGCGAGAGCTCTGAAATTCCATTCAGTTCAGGTCCTTAGTTCCAGTCGAATCGTGAGCAAAGCTCGACACTGCTAGCGAAGCTCTACGAAAGAGCATATCCATTATTTCCATTATAGAGCCAATCACACTGCGCTCTCTCTTTACGGCCGGTATGTAGAATCTTCGGAGCGAGCAGAGCAACGGAGCAAAGTGGGCTGTTTGAACTTTGACTCTTATCTGTAAGTAAGGAGCTGAAAACAAGTCCTTAGGAGGGCCCTCATTCTCAATGCAAGCTAGCTCTTACTTGTGTTTAGTGAGGAGGCTACCTAACATACAGGTGACTGCCCTGGATTTCTTCCTTGGGTAGGCCATCCGTGAGTGATAGAACACAGAGAAAGAAAGTCGTATAAGAACGAGGCGGACTCTGCCATCTCTTTCTGTTCGCTTCCAGAGGTGCTTAAGTGGTCATTATCCGGGTGAAGGGATGGGCTGGGGTAGGTAAGGGATTGTGGAACTTTGGTTTTATTTAGCGAGGAACCCTTTCACTCGGCGTCGAATGATCAAAGCTAAAAGCTTTAGGCATCTTTTGAGCATGTTCAGCTTCCAAAATTCCTGGAGTCCTACGCTACGGCATTATCACAGAAAGAAAACATGGCTAGTAGATAACTATTTTCTTATTGTAGAAAGCGATCAGTTCTTTTGATCTTGTTCGGGCTTGGAAAAGCTTCCTTTTTCAATTCCAGAAGTGGAGGAGCCTATGTAGAAGAAGCTGTAGAAGAGCACCACCACGGTTCAGGTCCCGACACATGGGGGATTAATTCAGCTGCAAGGATCATGAATCAAGGGAAGAATGAGACCATAATTTGGAAGTCGCCCCCGACCGAGACCTAGATGGCAACCTAACCGAGTACGTCATAATTGAGAAAGGGAAGACCCACCCCCCAGAGCCAGAACACAGGCGCCGACCTCTCCGCCATCAGCACAAGTGAATAAGAAAGGATCACGTCGCCAAAGGTGGCGGTATCACCGTCTACAGGTCGATTCATGATATCTAAAGTGCAAATACTCGACGCCGTGAATCAAGAAATTCGGGTGATATACATACGAAGGCGTTGGTCCATCGGTGCCTTAGGGGAAATCATCTGCTTGCTCGGTCACTTTCGTGATAAGGCGCTTAAAAGGATTCTGGATTATATATATTTTGGGAACTAAAAGAGTGGCTGGTTGAAGGGAAAGATAAGCCCTACCCACTATCCTTTCCCAAAAAAAGGGGGCCCGTCCTCGAGAGGACTCAAACTACAACTTATATTTAACTAACCAAAACCACCTCCCCCCATTATTGTTAACGCAATATGTACGGCTTGCGCAAAAAATTCACTATATATTCATAATTATTGGAAGCAATTATAGATATATGACAAGAGCTGTAAATTAGCTTCATTTTGTTCTCCTAGAAAAATCTTTATTACATTAAGTGTATTGTGTCCTGCTGGGAGTGGAATTAAAGCTAGTAAAAAAAGGGGTCCAGAAAAGTGTGGCTGATTTGTTCTTTTACCATGTCAGCCACACTCTCATTTAGTCGATCTTGATAGTCCGAATACGAGAAGTGTCTTAATCTAGACACTCTCTAAGTTGATAGGATCCAAATGAAAAAAGGAAATACAATGGTAGGATTTGCCATCTTTCTTATTAAATAATGAAAAACCAATTGATCGGGAAAGGTCTTGTTCATGGTGGTAAGCGAGGGAGGATTTAGTAAAGGGATAATGCCGCTTTATACTAATATAGTCCCGAGTTGGTAATTAGAGTTAGAAGCTTCACAGCTTCCTCCACTCACCTCCACGGGCGAATAGAGTCTACTAGACTAGCCAAGAAAGAGTGAGGTAGACTATATTCTATGTCATTCGGAAGGGCTCCGTATAGTTTTGGGGTGTAACGTTGTGGTTGTTCCCTCTCCTTTCAGTCGAGTGACTTCGTGCCTATCCTTACCGAGAAAAAGGAGTTACAGAGGCATCTTCCATTCATATCTATTTTATGTTTTTCCGCACCATATTTTGATCTGCCTCTTCTTCGATCCGGAATTCCCAGCAAATCCTTGACTCCTCGAATACAATGGAATTTCACACCTGGCGAATCTTTCACTCTACCTCCTCTTATTAAGACCATAGAATGTTCCTGCAAATTATGACCTTCGTCTGGAATGTGAGCAAATATATCATGTCGATTGCTCAACCGTACTTTGGCTATCTTACGTGGAGCTGAATTAGGTTTTTTCGGTGTTCTCATTGAAACACGCGGGCATAATCCTTGCTTCTGGGGACATTGATCCAAAGCTCGAGTACGGTCCGTGCGCCATTTTTCTTCTCTACCATGACGAATCAATTGATTTAATGTAGGCATCGCTCTTTCCTTTGTCCTTCCCCCCTATTTTTGCCCTATCACTAGTGGTTACTCCCGATCCGAAGCACCCCTTTTCCATTCATAGAGAGATCCAACCGTCAAAATCAATAAAAAGGCCATCATGGACCAAGATCCAAATGGATCAATCTTGTTGGGAGGTACTGCCCAAGGAAAGGAAAAGGTTACTTCCGGATCAGGAATAATAAATAAAATGGAAACAAGATAAAATCTTATATCAAAACGACTTCTGGCATCACCAGAAGGATCGAAACCACATTCGTAGGCCGACAATTTTTCTGGATAGGTCGAACTATTGGAAGAAAATAGAAAAGGAAGACCGAGTGGGATCAAAGAAACTAGCGGGCTGATCACTAAATAGATACAAATAGGTGCAAATTCTGACATCACCATAGAAAACTTGGTTCTTTCGCTCCTTGCTGGCGGAGCGGCATACCGAAAAAAAAACAAGAAATAGGAACGAAGTAATTCGACCAAGAGGAGAGGAACGAAGAACGAAACTTTACGACAGCTTTTTCGTAGACGTTCGACTTGCATGTGTTAAGCATATAGCTAGCGTTCCTTCGTAGATCTCCGGATTTCACCCTAACCCAAGAATTTGCTTTATATAGGGAGACTCGTGCCCGCGTGCTGCAAGATCGAGTTTTACTTGCTCAACGAACTCGATTTCCTTTATGTCTTTCTCTACCGGGCCCCATTCGGGGTTTTTGTCCAGTACCTCTCGCTTCTCGGAAAAGAAATCCATAAAGTCCTTGGTAGGATTGGCAGCATCCCCCCTCAAGGCACGATTCCGAGAAAGAACC